CCGGCCCGGTGGACCTCGGTATCCCGTCCTCCCGTCCTGCGGGGGCTGGACACTGAGCTGTTCTCGCGCAGAGACCCGGGCTGTGCCAGGTGCCAGGCGCCCACCCGCACCTGCGCCCATCGCGCCCGGGACCCGGGGTGAAGAGGGCGGCCTCGAAACTCCGAGCGCAGCCTCAGGCCACCCTCTGGCCGGATCCTAGAGCCTGTTCTGGTCAGGCCCACGCCGCATGACCTCTGGCCAGCGTCCGCCCCGGGCTGGGCCATCTCCCAGGGCGCCCAGAAGGGGGGAAACTGGACAGACGCCGGGCGCTCACCAGACGCCAGGAGGTCCGGGCCCGGGAGCTGTGGGGAGCAGAGGGCGATTGGGGACCCCACTTAAGCCCAGGTGGCCCCCCAAGAGGCGGGGCCAGGGAAGGAGGAGGAGGAGTCTGGGTGACCAGGCTCCGCCCACTCCGCAGGGAATCTTCCCACGCTAGTGACAGTAACAATAACCACATTAATAATACTAGAAGCCGACACTCGGGCACTTTCTTTAATCCTCATCACGCCGCAGGAATTGTCTGTCCCCCGTTGTACAGTCAGAGAAACGCAGGCACAGAAAAGGTACGAAATGTGCCCAGGTTTCCCAGGCAGCACCTGGCAGTGATTTAGAACTCCTGTAACGGTTCGCTGCCTGCTGTGTGGCACACTTGGCCCCAGGCCTGCCCACTTCCAGCTGCTGGGGTCTCTCACTCACAGCCCTACAACCTGCCCAAAGGCCTGGGCCAGTCTCCTCCTGGCTGCTTGTCCACAGACTCTTCTCCACTGTTTCGTTCAAAGCACAACCCTGATCCTGCTGTGGCTACGCAGTGCCGTGCGCCTCTGCCCGTCTTGCAGCTCCAGTACTGAACCCATATGTGGACCCAGAAGGTGGCTAGTGAACACACAAATGAAATCTAAACACATGACCTTCGTCAGAACCCATGACCTTGGAGGCTGTGGATGCCTCTGTCCTCGCCCACATGCCATGCGAGCGCCTCTATCCCCTGGAACAATCTGTCCTTTATGGCTTTGCTCAGAAACCACCTCTTCCAGAAAGCCTTCCCAGGAAGATTGGCATTAAGAGACTGTGTGAGCCAGTCCGCTCAGGACAGAGGAGAGATCGGAGGGCCAGGCCTCAGTGCGGGGGCCCATCAAGGCCTAAGCTGGCTGGGATGGCGCGAAGGGGGTTCCTAATCCAGTGCCTGGACCCCAATTCCTGTCTCTGGGAACCCAGCCTGGGTCAGCCCGGCTCCCGCTGGTCTTGTGTGACACATCTGTGTCCTGGGGATGGGGGGAATCAAAGACCCCCCCACAGCCCACGTGGGGCAGGGGCACAGGGAGGCAAGCCCAGCAGCTGACGAAGCAGAGGCTGGGTCTTGGCATCGGCCAGGAAAGGCGGTCCAGGCCCACCCGAGGGCACCCGGGGTTGGCAGACAGGCGCCCTGGCGCTGGAGGTCACCGCCACAGTGGGCAGGTGGAGGAAGAGGTCACGCGCGGCTGGTGCGACGGCGGCCCCGGCCTTGCACACAGCCTTGTGCGGAGACACCACCGACGCGTGACGGGGCCGACAGGTGTGTGCGCCTGTCAGGGGCAGGTGTGCGCGCAGGTAGCTGTGCAAGTGGGCGCTCAGGAACAGGAAGTGGGCGGCGGAGGCGGTCAAGGGCGGGCGGCGGAGGGGGCGAGGAGGGGCCTGAGAAAGGGGTCATGGGCAGGTGAGGCGGCCCCAGGTGGGCCCGGAGGCGTGGCCGCGGCGGCAGGTGGGGGGAAGTGGGAGGGCGGGGAGCGCCCGCAGGTGCGTCGGGCTGCCAGGTAGAAGTGCGAGGAGGAAGTGGGCGGGGCCTGGGGCCCCCCCAGCCACCTCCCCTGCAGCCGCGTCCTGGGGCCCCGGGGATCCCCCCTCCCCCGGGGATCCCCCCTCCCCCGCCGCCAGAACCGCAGACGCCAGCGGCCCCTCGGGACGTGGCCGAGGAGGCGGAAGGACGCGCGGGGGCGGCGCCGGGGTCCGCGAGCCCCGCCCCGGGCCGCCCTGCGCGGGGACGCACTGACCTCTGGCGGCCACGCGGGGCTAGCGGCTCCCCGGGAGCGGGGAGAGGGGCCCCTGATAAGGCCGGGGACACCCACCTATCACGCCCTGCCACGTCCAGGCCCGCTGGACACTGCACTTCCCAAGCTGCGCGCTGCAGGCCCGAGCACCTCACTTCCTCCAGGAAGCCCTCCCTGTCTGGATGGGGTGAACCTCAGGACCACCCAGAAGAAAAGTGCCAAGGGAGGAGGTGCTCTCTGCCCCTCTCAGGCTGTCAGGGCGCCTTCTTGGCACCTGGCTCCTTGGCCCAGGAACCACGAGCCTGGGTTAAACCTGACTCCTCTTAATTGAACTTGGACAAGGGAGCCAATCTCTTTGGTCTCAGTGGCCCCTATGCATGGTACTGCTCCATATTGCCATGAGGGTTCCCTGAGGGAAATTCTGCCGCTTGCCTGCCTAGATCGTCTGCGTAACACAGGTTGTTCATAAGTCTTCATAACAATCTAAAGCTGGCATTGACGAGAACGGGAATCTCAGAATACTTAACTATGCTCAGACAGCAACCATATCTAGGCCAAGAAACTGTTGTTCAAACAGAGCAAGGGAGCATTGCATGATTCAAAATTAAAAAAGAAGGGCATCAAAGCTATACCCTCTCTCCACACCTTTTCAGCCTGACGTTATGCGGAGGAGTGTGGCTTCAGGATTGGAGATAGATTCATCAACAACCTGTGTCATGCAGATGATACAACCTTGCTTGCCAAAACTGAGAACTTGAAGTATTTACTGCAGAAGGTCAAGGACTGGAGTCTTCAATCTAGATGACAGCTTGTTGTTGTTGTTGTTATGTGCCATCGAGTCGTTTGCGACTCATAGCGACCCAATGTACAACAGCCCTAAACCCTGCTCTATCCTGTGCCAGTCTCATTGCCTCTGACACACCCATCCTGATTACCCCAGTCACTGAATCAATCCACCTCATAGAGGGTCTTCCCCTCCTGCGCTGTCCCTCTACCCTCCCAAGCATGATGTCCCTCTCTAAAGACCTGTCTCTCCTTACAACATGTCCAAAGTATGTCAGACGAAGCCCCAGAATCCTTGCCTCCAAGGAGCAGCCTGGTTTAATCCTCTCTACGATGACAGCTTAACATAAAGAAAACAAAAATCCAAATATTACATGATGCCACTGTTGTAGAATGGGACTGTCCTTGGGGTTGGGGAGAGACTGAATAAGATGGGTTCAATAATGTATACTGCACTGAAACAGAGGAGGGAGAGAACTGTTTAAAAGAGAGATATAACTAGGTATTTCTGTCATCACAGGAGACTAGAGCGAGGGCTACATGGTGGAGGGGACTTGGGGGAGGGTTTGTAAAACAATGAAAGAATCTTTTCTTTTACTTTTCCATAATTTTTGGACTCATGTACTTATAAATTGTTAGTCAAATTTGTGTCTTCTAGGTTGCAACACCCCCATGATACATCTTCAAGGATATGAACATGTACAGCCAAGCACAATCAATAAGAGTGCATCTAAATTCCAAAATCAATCTCCATAATATTCTATATGTTTCCTACTGCCAAAGGGGCCCTTTAGAGTAGTGAGAGAAGATCTTCACCCTGAAACCCACAGCGTCCCTTTTCAGCAGGAAGTAGCTAAGAGAATACGCCATCCCCTTTTCCTTATGACTCAGGGTGAAGTCTCTCTCAGGGAGGAGTGATAGGGAATGGCAAAGGACACACTGACAAAGAAGATTAATCAGAACTGGCTTTGACAAGCACTGTGGCATTTGGACAAGAACAAACTGGGAGGAGGGTAGAGAGAATGGTGCAACAATGAATGAGTGGAAGCCCAAAATCTCTGTAAATGTTTATGAAAATTAATAAAATATAATTATAGAAAAAAAAAAGAAAGAAAACAAAAATCTTCATCACAGGGCCGGAAGGCGGTATTGAGATAGATGGATAAAAGATTGAAGTTAACAATTTAATCTTGCTCGGATTCACAATCGACACCCTCAGCACCAGCAGTCAGGAAATCAAAAGACGAGTTGCTTTGAGAAAATCGGCTGTTAAGGACCTCTCCAGAATGCTAAAGAGCAACGATGTCAGTCTGGAGACTAAGGTGTGCCTGATCCAGGCCATGGTCTTCTAAATTGCTTGCTATGCATCTGAGAGCTAGACAATGACTACAGATGACAGAAGAATTGGTGCCTTTGAAGCTAAGATTGTGCTGAAATCCCAAAGGGATGTGATTTGAATCCACCATATGCTCCGCTGGAGAAGGATGGGCAATCTCTACCTGGGCCAGTCAGATCCAATTCGACAAAACACAACCCAAAAAGGGGGGGGGGGAATAAAAAGAATTGGTGCCTTTGAGTTGTGGTGCTGAAGAAGAGTACTGAACAACCACGGAGTGCCAGGAGAACAAGCAGGTCTGTCCTGGAAAGGGTGAAAGCAAGCTGCTCTCTGGGGGCAAGGATTTTAAAGCTGTCTCACATACTTTGGGCATGTGGGCAGGAGGGACCAGTCCCTGGGGAAGGACATCATGCTTGGAAAGGTGGAGGGACAGCGCAGGAGAGGAAGACCTTGGATGAGATGGATTGACACAGGGACTTTCGCAAAAGCGCTAGGTGCGTCAGAGATGATGAGATTGGTTCATGAGGGCAGCCTCAAAGCTATTATTCATAGGGTCACTGTGAGTCGTAGGGGACTCAGTGGCACATGACAATACCTGCCTTGTACATGGAACTTGGTGACATAGTGCATTAGAGTTTGAGTCCAGTGGAGTCCTTGAGAGAGAAAGCTGGGCAAATTCCTCCCCCAAAAATATTAACAGCCTCAGAAAGCAATGGAGGGGGTTGCTATGTGCCAAATTCCATTTGAGGGCAGTGGGTTTGGGTTTGGGGGAAGTACCTGCCTAGCGTGGGTGGCGTTATTGTTAATGTGTACTCTCAAGTTGGAACTGACCCACAACTGACCATCCAGCAGGTTTTCAGAGGCGGTAAATCCCATGGGAGGAAATTGCTAATCTTTCCAGCAGCTGATGGATTTGAACCATTTACCGTTGTGCTGGCAGCACAATTCTTTATCACTAATCCACCAGATAAGCTCTCAGATTGCTACACATCTAAGCTGGGCAGTGACTAAGGATGATGGGGGGAAAAATTGATGCCTTTGAGCTGTGGTGTTGGAGAAGAGTGCTGAATATTCCACAGACGGCTAAAAGAACAGACAGATGTGTCTTGGAGAAGGTGGAGGCAGAGGGCTCCTTGGAGGAAAAGATGGTGAAGCTTTGTCCTTTTTTCCCCTTTTTTCTTATTATTAATAACTTTAATGAAAATTTACAGAGACTTAGAGTTTCCATTCATTTATTGTTGCACTTTTCTCCCTGCCCACCCCTCCACACCTAGTTTGTTCTTCTCTTTGAAAAGGAAAAGAAAAATTCTTTCATTGTTATGCAATCCCTCCCCTCAAGTCCACTCCACTGTGCAGCCTTCGTTCTGGACTCCTGTCATGACAATAAGGAATCACACTGATTACATCTGCGGAAAGAAACATTGGAAAAGCTCAATATCAGCTGTGAAAACAGGCCAGGAGCTGACTGTGGAACAGACCACCAACTACTCATATGCAAGTTCAAGGTGAAGCTGAGGAAAATTAAACCAAATCCACGGGAACCAAAATATGACTTTGAGTCTATCCCACCTGAATTT